TTATATTTCTGTTTAAAGTGCCCAAGCTCATTTATGTAAGGTTCTTATGTTATGTTTTAGGCTTTTTAACCTCAGTGGAGTCCCTTTAAACAAATTCTATTTTTTCAGTTTTGTCTATGAAGATGTAGCAGAAGTCATTAAACTTTTCGTTGAGATGGAAGGGTACCAGTGCGACAGGTGCACCGACGAAATACTTTTTTGCAATGACACACAGTAAACGTACATGTAATTCAAAATCAAACGAAGTCCGTCAGTCCAATGCGATTTTACATTACAATAATGCTATGTCTTTAAATTCAACAGTGAATCACTTAACAGATAAGACTTTCTTACATACATGTACAGGAATTTTTCCCCCATAAATATGTGTTTCATGTCATTAGCTCTTTTTATAGTTGTTCTGCAACTAAGTGTCTATTAACAGCTTTTTTTCGATGCACCTTTACCTATGTTTAATATCTTAACTGACATAAGAAAACTATTACAAATGATAATTTTATCGCAATTGTTGAGTAAGTAAGGTAAGGTAAGGTAAGGTAAGGTAAGGTAAGGTAAGGTAAAAGGTAAGGTAAGGTAAGGTAAGGTAAGGTAAGGTAAGGTAAGGTAGGGTAGGGTAGGGTAGGGTAGGGTAGGGTAAGGCAAGGCAAGGCAAGGCAAGGCAATGCAAGGCAAAGTAAAGTAAAGTAAAGTAAAGTAAAGTAAAGTAAAGTAAAGTAAAGTAAAGTAAAGTAAAGTAAGTAAGTAAGTAAGTAAGTAAGTAAGTAAGCAAGTAAGTAAGTAAGTAAGTAAGTAAATTGTTTATTAAAGTGACATGTGTTATTTACAATATAATCATATACAAATATTTTAATAAAGGTATTTAAAACATCCGGCCTTATGGGCCTATTAGTCACTGTTGACATTTGATACAGTATCTACTGTTCTCAAATATTAAACATAAAAGAAGTACAAGTTCAATTTCAAATATATGGACGATGTACATAGAATAGTATATTTTCACTTTCATCTTTATCAAGTAAATTAAACAATTAGATAAATGAGTAATTGATGGAATTAAATATTAGTGATACACATATATATGTTTCGGTGCAAATCGCTATGGGTATATATTTTATTATAAGGCTTCGCCTAAACATAAAAGCTTTCACATAAAAGCTTTGATTACGGCACGATACGGATACGAATAAAGAAATTAATAAGAAGGTTATCCAACTTCAGAGCATTTCTGCCAGTCATAATCGGCAGCCTCGAAAATACATTTCTGCCGCGTCACGACAAAACCAACATAATGGGTTTGCAACCAGCATGGATTCAGACCAGTAACGATTGTTTATGTGTATGATACCTTTTTTATTTAAAACTTTAGATATTTTGAAGAAAAAAAAGAGAAAAACATTTTCAAGGATTTTTCCAAAGCTGTCATCTTTAATCTTGTCAAAATGATTTAAAACGAAACAAGAAACGAATCCCAAACTACCGTATAATATCTCCAGTCACTGGACAGTAAGTCTATAGCAATGGAATTGACCTCTTTTGCGAATATAAATATACCAAATCTATAACCCACCTGCAGAAATCAGTAAATTATCACTACCTGTACTTGTGTCTCTGTGACTTAAAACCCAAACAAACAAACAAACAAAATCACTGCAGCAATCTGTGATATACGGTGTGCCTTTTTTCTTTCTTTTTTCATAGCAGGGCAACACATTGCAAAAGAGAAAAAAACATGTATTCAAAATTATAATATTGATTGGTACCGCGAAAATGAAAACGAGGCTTAATGGAGTACAATATACATGTATATTTGATATGGATTTTCGGACTCTCAATACGAAAATGGGGTTCAGTTGATAAAAATGGACAATGGTGATTTTAATTAAAAAATTACAATATGCAAACGCTGGAAGCTTTTTTTATAAGTGTGAAATTAATATCGCAGTATCATCATCATACGTACATTTATGAACAGAACAGAACAGAAAGTTTATTTTGACGTATACAAAGTACATAGTCAATTACATTAATACATTCATTCATACATACATATATACAATCACAAAATCAATGGATAGTCTGCAAATTTCTTGAAGGTGAACAGTTTAATCTATTTTGTTTCCTTCAGTATAGGATTTGACATAATCAGTTTAACATATATTACATAGTTTAATATTTAGTTACGAACATGTTGACAAAGATAGCGTGAATTTCACATACATTATTGTGTCACTTGTAATAAAGTTATCTATACATACGTAATAAACACCGATATCTAACTATATATACTACGTATACATACGTACATTTATGTTGGTGAGACGTTGGTGTGATTGTTGTTGTAGTATCGAGTTATTAACTTGTAATGACATTTAATTGACCGTTGTTTTTCGATCATCGTATTAATTGTTGAATATAATCTGCCATTCTATCACATTAAAAGGCGATGTCCGTTACGGAATTCCGTAGTCAACTTCAGTAGTTCAAAAATAAATGAATGAATGAATGAATGAATGAATATTTAAATAAATCAATAAATGATAAATAAATATTTAAAAAAAAGAAAGATTTGCAATAGTATATTATTTTCCGTACAGAAAAATCTTGTGAAAACAAGGATTCTTTTGTTTTATAAATAGCAAAATATAACGTGTAGAATATTTATGTTTTAAAATTCGTTCATTTTTTTCTCTTATTTACGCATTTACGGTGACATAAAAATGTATTTTCAGCAAATGTACAACTTTGTTGTTTCGATTTCATGTTCAGGAAGGAACACGTACAATTCTACTGGTGCTAAATATAAAAAGATCGCGCGCGTAAAAAAACAACAACAAAAACACGTCACAATGATTAATAACACGCATACTATAGAATACGTAACCACCGAAACTAAAAGCATGAGAAAGTAAACATGCTTTGTTCTGGAAATTTGACTTAAAAATACATCGTTATTTAAAGACATTATTTAATAAAATGTAACAGGTCATAATCGATAAATGTATGCCCATACTGAAAATCAATGAATGTTGTTGAATAATCTTACATTAACTGTAGTTAACATATAGAGTAATGAGTGTAGTCAATGGTATCCCGGTCCCCTGGAAAAGACGTGGATTGAGGAAGAAATTCAACAGAAATGAGTTTTATCATTTCCCCCCCCCCCACACACACACACACATGCGGTAGTTTTGTTTTGGGGACAAATAGAGAAGGAGTTATTTGGGGGACATTTCGAGGGGATTTTACCATCATGGTGGGGTCACTATTGCATTGCTTTTACGGAATAAAACAAAACAACTACCATATTGTTTCTAAATAATCTATTAGAATAGATCTTTTTCATGTCGGTTAACCATGGGGTTTACCCCATCAGAAAAAAAGCTGAAAAGTCACACTATGAATAGGATCCAAATCAGTGTTAAAACATTTACGTTTACCATATTGTGAAACAAATTGTCAAATAAAGAATTTACGCATAATAACATTGAAATATTAAATGCCTACAGAATGGTGAAATCATACGATACTATAAATTGATGAACCTGGCATTTCTACAAATTAAGTAAGCACAGAAATCCGATATTAAAAATACGTAAAATAAACAATTATCTAATATGACTATGTATTATACTTCCGGTATTTGATCTGCCGTCACTTAACAGCTAATCGATAGTGTGTCAAACTTACTTTAACCAAGCAACATTTAAAACATTTGGTAATATAATACCAGAGAATGGACTCTCAAAATAAATTCGGACATATCTTGTGGTTTTGTTTACAAAAAATGTAGCGTCCTGTATCGATACATCATTGTATCGCGATATTGTATAGTGGAGGCATCAATCACGATTAACCTAATATCGATAATATCGTGACATAGATAAGGAGATTCTGTGGAACATTATTACTATAAAAGTATAAATTATCTTATATTCCATTGCTGGACTTTAATATCTTTTAGCCAATAAAGTGTCTCTATTTAAAGGTGATTTCAACCTTACATAAGAGAACACACACTAAAAAACAAAAACAAACAAAAAAAAACATTATTTTCTTATCTTAACCTTAATCGGAAAAAATATTATTTTTTTTTATGATTTGAGACGCAAATATGATTTGTTTCTATTTCTTATTTACAAAATACGGAGTAAATTAAACATTTAAACTTCTACAGTGTTTCATTTTGAATTCCGATATTCCCGTTGTATATACTAGACTTGTATATCGCTTTTAAATATATATTTCCATGTATCAGATCAGATATTTATAGAAAATTTATCAATAAATACCAATCATGAAGGCAGAACAGTATTTTCATATTTGTCTCTGACGTTAAGTTGCGTAAACCCAACCCCATTATCATCATAATTAATGTCAGAAATAGCAAGCCCTAGCGTTCGATTTTCATAGAAAGAAAACAATAGTTGAAAGGAATGCTTTGATTTTCAAACGAATTATATATCAATCATACATAGCACCAAAAAAAAAATTGACTATTTCCTCTTCCGGGTCTGAAAAAGTACACGAAAATGATAAAAAAAATTAGCAGTAATATTTAAAGTATCTATGTCATGTACATTAGATGTGATATTTAAAAATATAAAACGTCATTCTAAATGCAATTTAGATGAAGATTTTGATAAAAAACAAAAGAACAACACATTTTAAATACAATTATAATCAGATTATTAGCAACGAGCCAAATTTTGCCGACAATTCACAGAAATATCCCAATACAAACTTACGTGTTCATGAGGGAGTAATTCATTCTTTTGAAGAAAAAAAAAGTTTGTTAGTCAACAATAACAATGATTATTTTTGGAAACTTACAAAAGCTATCGTTCTTATTTTTAAGCAAGGACTGGTATTTGGGTATTTTATCTGCGACTTACAAAATTTATTCAAGTAATACAGAAATTACGTGGAACTATACTTTCAGTTTTTTTCTCCATATGTATATATATGAATGAAATGCGCGAAATATGTATAGACTTGAGCGTGACAAAGTATGATTCGCAACTGTTGAATAGTAAACTCTGAGAAGTACTTAAAACTTTTCATATTTCTGATTATAAAAATAAACTTTATTTTATAATAAATTTTTGAAATCCGCGGACGCCAACTTGAAAGAAAGAAAAAAAATTTATCACATAGACTCTCAAGACAAATAAAAAAAATTGATATGGATTTGATCGAAAAAATGATGGAAGAAGGGGAATCTGTACGTGTGTTCGGGTACGGGTCTTTGCTCTGGAAGCCGGATTTCCAGTATGAGAAGGTAGAAACGGGCTGGATAGACGGGTTTAAGAGAAGATTTTGGCAGGGAAATGTAACACATAGAGGCACGGTTGATAATGTAAGTTAATTATGTAAACGACTTAAACAAATTCATCATGACAGAGCGTACTTATAATCTAAAGATCAGCCCAATTAATAGTTTGATAATCACCGGAAACACTTTATTTATTTATTTATTTTATTTTTAAGATTATCACGTACAGGGTAATAAGAAAGAAAACTGATTTTTATGTGGCTTCAGTATTAAATCCATTTAATAAATTTGCATACTTTAACCAGCTAACTTGTTCTACTTAGCGGTAGTAAGGCTGAACTAAAATGTTAATATCTATCAATAATTTATGCTTTATTAATGTACAAATCATTCTTAAATTTACAGATAGGACGAGTTGCAACGCTGATCCAGTCAAAAAAGGTACGTTGCATTTAAATCTGTTTGAGTTCAAGAAGTTTAAACAAATCGGACAATTCTTTTATATCTGTTGAAGTAACATTGGCTCATATCTTAACAGCAGAATTTATCTTTACAAAACGTGCAGTATTATAAAGTTGGATAATCGTGACGTTTATATAGTTTTTTTTACTAAGAGATTAATACACGGCAGAGTAGACCCGGAAGGTGATAATCGGCCCGCAAAATGAATAATGGCCCGTTAAAGTGCGCTACTGTCAACGTTAAACTACTGTATAGGCGCGTCAACGAAAAATGACTCTTTTTTGTTTAATGTAAACCGTTCTTATTTCAGATATGTGATAAATAAAATATTATGTTCGTGTAGATTCAATAATACATATGAGACTAGCATAATATGAGTTCAATAAATTTAGTATTAATTAAATCTAAACTCATCCATTATGCCATGTAATCGGGTAATTATAGCATTACTCAATATAAATAACTTGTAAAAAATATAAATAACTTGTAAAAAATCGATATAATGTAAATTGCTACAGATCATTGCCATAAAAAGAATGATCTATTTATAAATGTGTGGGTTTTCTACAATGAAATATGACACCAATCCCTTTGAAAAAATATGGTCAAATGTTTTCTCCTCAATGCGTATGTATGAAATACGGCTTAACAGATTATAAAATTCTTATGCTATGTGAAATTTTCTTGATGATATTGTTGATTTTCTTTTCTTAGGAAAAAATATTTGAAAATATAATTTTGAATATTTTACAGCATCGGGTTTGGGGTGTTATGTTTGAAGTTTCAAATCATGAGGATAAAGTTAAAGCTTTGAATGGACTTACTAATCGTGAGGTGACTCTCGGCGGATATGACGTCATTGAAACAACATTTTACCCACGAGATAATGGAATGAAACCATGCCCGGTCATTTTCTTCATGGCAACGCCTCAGAATGAACATTACCTCGGGAAAGCAAGCATGGACACCATGGCGATGCAAATTGTGAACGCTGTTGGACCATGCGGACCAAATATTGATTACGTCACTAAAATGGCGGACTTCATTAGAGAAAATATACCGGAAGACAAGGATGAACATTTGTTTAAGCTAGACAAACTTGTACGTGAGTACGTCTCAACAGTAGTAGAGCGAATTCATTAGAGAACATTAAGAGATTGAGCAATAACATATAGCCTATTACCAATGTATGTGTGCAATAATAAAATATTTATTCCATCATAACATTCATGATTATGTGTTTGAAAAACTAGTTCGAGAGTTCAAACTGTCTGGATGACGCGCATAGAAAATAACATTTGTGATTGTAATTTGCAAAAATATGTAAAAACTTGTGATTTTTGTAAATGTCTGTTTTATTTCCGGGTTTATGCTTGTTTGTTTGTGATTTAAAATTATTTTAATATTATCCCGTTTTGTTTTACTGAAAATTAAAAAAAATAATACGAATTTGTTCCTGAAATCAAAAAGCTCGATATCTTCTGTATACTGATCACCGTATATATTTCCAAAGGGATCCTGGTCTTCGAATGGGAGCAATATATTTTCCAATGGGAACTTTGTTCCCATTGGAAATAACTACATGTATATTAACACATTTTTAAAGTGGTCTGAAATCTAATAGATCTATTTTGATATCGGTTTTTTAACTGAGTAAAAGAATATATTAATATTTGTCCCTTGTTTTTGCAGGGCTGGTGATATACAGTTGATATTTCACCTAAATATTTAATACAAAGTATATTTAAAATAATAATGTTATTTCTAAAAAGTACTTAGATGTACTACCAGTTAACCTATAGATATATTTTTGTAAAGTTCGAACTGCAAATCACCAGCTACCTAGAGAAAAAAAACCGTCATCTTGATATTAAAAGAAATTTTAGACACTGTACACATTGTAATAAAAAATGAATTGAGGATGAATTTCATTATTTGCTTGAATGTGATACTTTTAAAAGAGATTACATTGTAGTACGAACACTATAATTGTCATCCAAATGTCTTCAAAATGGAAGATTTGATAAACTTTTTAAGATTAGGCTACATTAATAAAACCAGCTTTACATTGTTAGAATATTTTCTCAGTTGTCTGATAATGGTTCGTATTTGTTATTCACTTATGTTTGGTATATTTTCTTTAAAAAAGAAAAACAATAAATCAGTATTAAAATTCTGGCAGCTTTTTGTGCATTTTATTTTGTAATTGTTTGTTACAAACATGTATATTTGATAAGTTAATTGTTAATATGAAAATATGTTGTTGTTTTTTAATGAATAAAGAATTGAACTGAATTGATAAACTCATTATTTCTGAGACAAATCTTACAACAGCGATGGGTAGACAGATTCGTAACTTAACTTCTTGACGACGGAGGCCCTATCTATGGAAATAAAAACCTTAATTATATGGTAAATACATGCATGTTAAATTTACACCTTACCGAGCTATTGAAAGTACAATGCCTTTAACAAGAATCATCTCCTTATTAAATAAAGATAGGAGAGAGAAAAATTTAACTGCAAAAGACAAGGAAACATGAAATTATGTTACCGGTATAATTTCTATTTTACATTTATTATTATTAGAATTACTATTGGTGTCTTTTTATAGTTCAAATCTAACATTTTGACAATAAGTTTATATAGTTTTACTGATTTAGTATTTTTTATGGAAGTCAAAATACCAATTTGTTGACATTTGTTATCTTTAGGACAAATTATTTTACTTCCAGTGGCGTTTCTTTATCTAGGAATGAAGCACGGAACATTATCCTTGGTAATCTTGGCTATCTACCGTATTCCAATAATGTAGTATATACGGAATGTGTACCGTGGCTAAATCAATTATTACATCATTTTAAGTAACATGTTTCCCTTTTTTAACAATAATATAAGTACTCATTTCTGAGGCATAATGTGTACAATTAATAATCATATCATTCATTATACTGCTTTACTACGCTATTTATTGGAGAAACTTACTACATAATTATACATATAAGTTTTTAAATAAGATAATTTAAAGAATGAAAAAAATATACATTTATGTGGTAAAAAAGTCACTTTAAACAATACATTTTATTGTAAATGTTAACGAAGAACATAGATTAAAGGATTTGTAACAGTAGGTAACGAGGTGTATTTATAGTGTACATGTACACGTTTTCACGTGGTTGTATATCTGAATTGCATCACCTTAATTTAAAGCATTGTCCCATATGGTTTCCGACTCTCAGGTTGTCAATATAATAAAATCTGTTTGCGATTTTTACTTTCATTGGTTAAGCGTGTGTATATCTTACAGAAAAGGATTAATATTTATCATGTTTAAAAAACATAACATAATTTAAATCGAATAACATAATTATATCATCGGATGTGTATATTAATTCGCAGACTTTGACGTAGTGTTAACATTCTGTTTATGTTTAAAAAGAGAGAAAAACTCCACCAACAATTTTTGAAATGGATTTAATTGAAAAAATGATGGAGGCGGGAGAATCCGTGCGCGTGTTCGGGTACGGGTCTTTGCTCTGGAAGCCGGATTTCCGGTATGAGAGGGCTGTGACGGGCTGGATAGACGGGTATAAGAGAAGATTTTGGCAGGGAAATGTAACACATAGAGGCACGGTTGATAATGTAAGATTATTATTATTATTGTTATTATTATTATTAAAATTCTTGTTAATCAACATTTCTTATCACTAAATCTAAAACTTTTTCCATATCTTAGATATATAGTACTGCATAATTTACATTTCATGCAAAAACTTGTTAGTATTCGTGAAAATAAAACGGACTTATTTTCTTTCAGATCGGACGGGTTGCAACACTAATACCGCATAAGAAGGTATGTATTCGTAGATAAAAATCAATTTAAAATCAACTGCTTCATTAAGTGTTATATTCTATAGGTGAACTATCTAATGCAATGCTAAGTTTGTTTATAAATAACTGCACGATAAACCTAGCCCATTCACTTGACTCACGTTTTTCCGTTTAAAGAAAACAATAACAAACCTTTACAAATATTGCATCACCCAAACATAACACGTATAGCACGCGTGTTTTGGTATTGATCGCTTAAACACATGTTGAGCTTTCTTTTTTTCGACGTCATAAGTACGATAGTAGTATAATTTACATTTACGACTGAGCATAATAATAGTGTCATTCATTTACAAAAAAGAAATCATAAATATGTATGAGTGATTTACATGATAGAACACGCATACAATTAAGAAAATTTTCAGCCGTTAAAGTATATTTAGTATACATTAAAGTACCAATCAGTTGTAGGACCCCAGCACCGGGTGTTTAAGCCCCCTTCCCCCAGCACCGGTTTATAGCGCACGGCCCCTTTCACCAAGTAATAGTGGGTCTTTTACATTTTGAAATATCAAACCCTTGTTGCTCTTGCCGTGTGAGTTAGAATACCCCAGTTATTTTGGCGCCAAAACTTCCCCTGCATTTATATGACAGAGGGGACAGATGGTAGGTAAAATGGGGCTTACCCTTGCTTTTCCCCGCACTCACCTTGGGTGTGGAGATTAATAATGTATTTCCCATCTGTTATTGTATTTACGGATTTAGTATTGCAATTAGAGAATGACGTTTCATACTTAGATAATACGTCACTTATTTCATACGGATTATAAATAAACAAAATTTTATGAATTATATCTATTATCGGTTAGGAAGAGTATCAAGTTTCAGGCTTCCCATTATGTGAGTGATGGATATCGCACATAGTAAAATTAAAAAAAAAAAAATTAAAAAGTTTTGTGATAAGAAAGGAAACTTCCGAAACGTGTGCACCTAAATAGATCTTGCGAATGGAATCGGCTTAAATATGACTGTATTATTAATTTTAGATACCACACAAAGAAATGGTTCCTTTCCAGTATTTTAAGTTTTTCATGTTTTTTCCCATAAAGATATCTAGTGGCTAATTTTTAATAAAGAAAACAAATTTATTTTCTTTCAGAGTAAAGTATATGGCGTGATGTATGAAGTCAAGGACCAAGAAGCAAAACGTAAAGCTTTGAATGGTTTAACTAATCGTGAAGTGACTCTTGGTGGGTATGACGTCATTACAACTGCGTTCTATCCGGCAGACGATGACACTAAGGCTAGTTCTGTAATTGTTTTCATGGCAACACCTCAGAATGAATATTACCTAGGGAAAGCAAGCATGAACACCATGGCGATGCAAATTGTGAACGCTGTTGGACCATGTGGTGCAAACATTGATTACGTCACTAAAATGGCGGACTTTATAAGAGAGCATATACCGGAAGACAAAGATAAACACTTGTTTGCGTTAGACAAACGTGTGCGCGAGTTGATTGAACAGAAATACTGCCTTAGTACTTTAATAGGACAAAGTGAATTCTTCGAAGAAAGACAAGAATCGAGAGAATAAAGTGTTCTGCCAAACGAGAATAAGTTTTGATCTCAGAATATGAAGTCAGTATTAGAGTGATACATGTATATATTTTGAATACATGTACATGCATTATGGATCAGTGTTCATTACTTTATACCTTGATAGTCATCGTCTTTAGCTGACTTCATGTTTGCTTTACTTATTTATTTACTTATTTATTTATCAACAGCACTTACATGTATTTATTTATTTAGTAAGATATACTTACACATTATGTTTCAGATATACCATGCATTTATTCTATGATATACAGTACAATGAATATGCAATACAATGGCAAATGACACCATGTGTTCTTGTGACACCCTGTGTTGAATTTTAGATGATTTTGTTACATTTTTTGCAGCTTCGACTTTCTTATTACCAACATAAATATGGTATTCCGCTCCTGTGTAGGTGGCATTAGGCCTTCTTTTTTGTCTGTAAAAACTTTGTGTGTGAATTCGAGTTCATGTACTCGCCACCGGTTGCCCATATGGGTTAATACTCCAGAAGAGTATTTATTAATCGAGGAAAGTCCAGGATGCAGATACATAGAGATGCCCAATTCAAGAACCTTTTCCTGGTTCGTTAGCGTGCCAAGTGTTTAAGCACTAATACAAAGGCCCTCGATTTAAAGTCTCATCTGAAAGACTGATTAGTATTTTTAGTTGACCAGCCCGGGAATCGAACCCACAATGTCGGGATTACAAGTCTAGATCTCTAACCGATTGAGCTATGCAGGCTGGCAAAAACTTATTTTAGTTAATGTAGTCTTTTATAATTATGCTACTTTTCACGACAGACGGCATGATTTTAATACAACCATTTATTCTAATTAACTGAACGCTTCACACAGAGAGTTTATAGTTTGCAATCTTAAAGTTTTCCTACAAAAACAACCGAAGCTGTGCTGTTTTCAAAATAAAAGTACAACTATTTACTTATAATGTAAATATATAACGAACATTACGTTTATAATGGACAACATAGGCAGATACAAGTTCATATAACAGCAAGTATGGACCATTAGAGGAAAGGCGTGGTCATTATCTCTTTAACGAAGTCGAATATATGTTTAAACTCTGTCACAATGTAAAAGATTATATCACTGTAAATAAGACCGTTTAATTTGGCAGAAATCTTATCGTGAAGTAGATCCATACACAATCCAATTAATTGTACTTTAATGGGTTCGTACCACGGACTCCTGTAACGGATTTTTCCCGGCATAGAGAGCAACCCCGCATAGATGGCCGTTGAATGGTATTTTAATTACTGAAACCATAGTATACAAACTGGTTTGAACAATGATGTCTAACAGTAGAAAAGGCTCATGTATCAATGTTGTTTTCCTAAATCTTTTGAAAAAAATTATGCAATTAAAAATAGATTTATACAAATACGGTAAACTGAGAAGGGTTCGAATTCGTGGGTGACCAAAATTTACAATGATATCAACCGTTGGTCTTTGTGTGTATAAAACCACGGATGTAACTCGGTAAATTCTTGTAAACAAACCAAAACAACATCTCCAAATGATATGTATATACGTATGGGTCTCGTTTATACGCAGCGTTCATAAAGTGCAATTCTAAACTGCCGGTGCCCCACACCGTACAGAAAACTTGTTCAAATATATTTTTCTATTGTAGTCACGCTATATTGTGATATTTGTCTCTTTGACGTCACTAAAACCACAACATTACATTTTAACAATTCGTGAAATATTACACATGCGCATTAATTATACGGAAGTGAATCAGAGTGAGGTAATATAGATCACTAAATTATACACGTTTAATTATGAAATTGAGGTCATTGACCTTATTGTTGTAATTATATAGTAAACAATAATTAGGTTTATATCTAACGGCAAAATAAAATAAATTGCTGTTTGTTTTCCGAGTGAGTCTGGAATTGAAATGTGTAAATAAATTCCATAAACTATCAGCATACAAATTAAACACACTCGATTTGAATCACGTATGCATTATTAATTCAACGTATTTGATATACCAATAATATGGCCTATTACAATCGCAAAAGGAAATTTACGAATAAAAAGCGCGAAACATTCAATGTGATTAAAATCATAAGCTATAAGTCAAGTGCTATATTATTTGGGTTAAAATTAGAAAGATATACACCGAGTATTTCAGTAAAAGTATAAAATATTTCCTTATATTTCTCGACTAGTATCAACCACCCGTCAGAGTAAAAATGCCATGTAAATATGGACCGTTATTAATTGTGTTCTGCGTGGTTGAAGGAGAACCGTTGCTACATCAAACAACAACTTTACACCAAAAACAACAACATAACGTTCATCAAATGTTTCATAATGTTTGAAATAAACCACTTGGTTTATTAATTTAAGATCATCATAGTTCAGATTAAATTTCATTACATTGTGGCCGAGTCCATGGAACCATATTCTTACAAAGGATCATAAGATTTTTGTTGCTGTTGATTTTTATTATATTTAATTTTTGATTTTGATTACTATTGCCTTAACAAACTTGCATATAACCACATTGTTAATATTTTACAAAACCACCCTTTTTAAAAAGTTAATGGAAGAAACTTGGGACTCTTTACGATTCAGTCGCAATATCCTGTAAAGAGTTCTTTCATTGTCTTAATGCGTACGGCGCCAAATAAATGGCGCCAAAATGATTCCAATTTGGAAGTCTTCTAACTTCCGTAGAAATGGAAAGAAAATGCATACTTTATTTTTGAAGATACAAGAATTATACTTCGACATACAAATGTACATAAATGATCAAATGTAGACAATTAAAGTCACAATACATGTACAATTCCAGACCATTTATTTGATATGCATTACTTAAACCTACATTGAATTTGTATGAAGGCCGCCATTTCCAACAAAAGATGGAATAAGAAAACGATCAGGTTGCTTTAAGGAAGAAATAATATTTAACTAAGTAGAAATTTATAACTCCTGACGTTAATACCAGAATTAAAGGATAATAAAATTTACGATCAAATGATTTTCTTATACGATAATTTTTATCTTTTTCCCATCCAATATGTACCGGAAATAACAACTTATAATTACATCTGTAATTATGCAAACAAGAACAGGATGCAAAAATCGCGGATAGCAATGTGCCAATATTGGATTCCATGTTCAAATTTCCACTGTATTGAATAGTAATGTAATTGAATACTTAACACACGGCCCAATTCTCATTATTTCCACCAAAAATACATTTATCAAGTGACCGAATCAAATGCTTACAAATTTTATTGACCTCTTCAAAGAATTTAAATGATTTAAATATCTGTATGGACCTTAATTTAACCCAAACCTGAAGCTCGGGCCCATTATAAACCCAAAAAAAAAAAA